GCTGTTATTTAAAACATTTTTCCTTTAATCCTCATAACTAAGAAAATATTTTCCAAGGATCCTAGTGGCTTTGATCATAGTCAGTTGGAAAGCATGTTTGGTCATGTTGCAATTTTAAGAAAATAAAGACTCTTAAAAGTCTTTTGCATGAATCTGCTTTCATCTCTTTGATATTAGTGAGCAGGCTTACAGCTTCACAGATTAATGAACCATATTTGGGAACATCAAAGCATCATGATTACATTATGAAACACTATACTTTATTTTTCAATTAAAGGTGCACAACACAACAGAAAGGATATAACCATCAAATGTAGGACTGAAAAGTAGAACCCTCAAAAAATTTTAAGGATCACCTTAAACATGCATGCATATTGTATGTATTATAGTCAAGAGTCATAAAACTAGGACTTTTTACCATTTATTTGAGAACCCTCAAGAATTCAGTTGCTTGAACACAGTTGCTATTTCAGCAGAGTTTATATGATCATAATTTTAGTAATGTATCAAAGTCCATTATTTCTCTTTTATCCTAGGAATTAGGTTCAAGAGAACTCAGAAAAAGCTAACAGCTAACATTTCTTGAGGATTTTAAGTGCTCAAGCACAAAGCTAAGTGCTTTATATATATTACACCATTAAACCCTGAAAATGACTAACCCTGAGAGCAAAGTACTATTATCAACATCCCATTTTACAGATAAAGTGACTGAGAAGTAAAGAATGCTAGTAACTGGTTTAAGCTATCACAACTAGAAACTCTGGCAGAGCTAATATTGAACACCAGTTATTTGGTTCTAAACCCACACTCTTAGTGCTTTAATACTGTCACAGTAGTGGAAGGTTAGAAAAATCAGTACAAACCCAGAGAAACATTAAACTTCATGTGTAACTGAACATTCAATCTTACCTTACTGATTTAGAGAAAACTGATTCAATCAGATATCTATTAAACAAACCTGGTATTCTGTTGTGTATCAGTTTTCATTTTGGCCAATTTGAAGTCAGAGTAGATTTCTCCAGGAGTAAGGATGTGTGTGTATGTCTACATAACTTGTATGTGTTTATGTATGTGTGCATAATATATTATTTATTCACTTGTTTAACAGCCATTATTCTGATTTCTTCATTTATATGAAATTGTTCAAACAAAAGTTTCCAGTTACCTCTTTATTGTGAAAACCATAAATACTTTTCTGTCTTCATGCTTGGCATCTTTTGGCACTTAATACTGGTGACTATTCCCACCTGGAAACCTGTTTTTCTCTCTGTTGGCTTCTTAAAACCACTCTCTGTTGTTTATCAAGTTTTCTGACAACAACCTTGAATCTTATTTGTTGATTCTTTTTCCTCAATTCATTGTACTTGATCTCTTATCTTTGTAGTTTACACTTATTCTGAATAACATAATCTACTTCTGACTCCCTAAACTATGCTTTTAGCTCTAAGATTTCTCCCAGGAGAAATAGAATATCCAGCTGAATATTCCATTTAGATGTCTGATGGATATAATTCACAACTGAATTTATAATTCTTCCCTCTATATCTGCACCTCACTTTTATTTAATCTCTCAGTGAGCAGTCATCAATCACTCACTCATCCAAGCCAGAAATCTGAAACACCCAACACTTTTCTTGTCCCTTCCCTCTAGCATCTAAATGGTGATTCCATTTCCCTTTCCTGGAATCAGTCCCTTTCATCCTTACTGCCATTTCCTTAGTTTAGTTTCTCATTCTTTCCTGAACTGTTACAATAGATTCTCTGTCTCCAATGTTCTCCCTCTCCAATCCACCTTGCTCAGTTACGCTGTAATAATGCTTCTAAATTGGCTTTCAAATTTTTAAAAATGTAACCCACAGTAAAAAAAAAAGTGCATTATATATCATAACTTAGTATAAATCCCCAACCACACAAAAAAATGAGTTTTATGCAGCACTCCAGTTTGAAAAAGACAGATGCACCCCTATGTTTATCACAGCACTATTTACAATAGCCAAGAAATGGAAGCAACCTAAATGTCCATCAGTAGATGAATGGATAAAGAAGCTGTGTTACATATACACAATGGAATATTATTCAGCCATAAGAAGAAAACAAATCCTACCATTTGCAACAACATGGATGGAGCTAGAGGGTATTATGCTCAGTGAAATAAGCCAAG